GAGCTAAATCCCCAGCCCCTTAGATTAGTCTTCTTTGCATCATCTTGGAGCTGTTGGACCCATTTTTGGTGTTCTTTTGTTTTCAAGATACCTCTCATTAATCAGACATCAATGACAACCTTGTTTTTAGTTCTCTATCCTCACTAGTGCTCCACCCTCACTCGATTTTCAAATTTGTTACTTCTACTGTCCATGTCGTCTATAGACTTGCTGTTAGTTTTGTTTACTTGGACCAATATCTATTTCCGTATATCTTCTGTGTATCTGCCAAATGCCTTATTGATCTTTTTTGTTATTTCCCCTGATATCATTTAAAGTAATTTGGGTGCATAGCTTTTGGTTTCTTCCCCTTTGATGATCTCGTGGATCAGTTCTGGAGTAGTCAGGGAGTTTTGGAAGCATTTTGTTGACCTGTCTTCTTGTATTTCTATTTCTGTGTGTGTGTATGTTTTTTCCCCACACATAGTTATATTTAATCTCTACAACAGAAACTGAGGTTAAGATTTTGTAGAAATAAGAGGTATAGGTTCCACAGGTCTGGAGGATGGTTACAGGACAGAATCTGAGGGGTGTGGACTGAGGAAGCACAGAACTGTCACTATGGTATTGTTTCATCAGCATGAACATGTCCTGAAGGTACTCTTTTTCCAGGTCAACCAGGAAAGCTCCACAGTGACGAGGCTCTTAAGGAATATCAATGCCACAGGATAACAGCTAGAAACCACACAGTGAAGCAATGTTTTTTATTTTCATAGTGATATTTTTTAATTAAAAATTAAGAAAGTCCTTACTATACAGGCTATTTGTCTTGAATGAATGTATCTGTACTTGACTCCTCTGGCAGCTTGTTTCATCTACAGGCAATGGGAACTTATTTTGGAATAATATCACTTGAGGGTCGTGCTAAGGTTAGAAAAGTCAATGCCAACACAGGTCATTAGCATTTTATCCATAACTTTGGGTTCTTCAGCACATGGTTTGGTTTCAGTTTTAAAAACAATCTGGGAAAAGTGCTTCAAATGCCATGTAAACTATTATGTAAGGAAAGAGTGGTCCTAGCAGGACTTTGGAAACATCTTGCTATCTAGGGGTCATGAGAAGCAGAGCCAGACTTTTGTCTTTGGTTGCCTAAGTCTACACATGCACCTCTGTGGATCTCTTCAAGCAGCAGCTGGGCATAGTTCCTCCCAAACTCCTCTGAAAGCACAGCTGTTCCTTGGCTCTGGGCATTGGAGGTCAGGTTAGCACTAAGGAAGTGCCACTGTGGTCTAAGAAACCAGGGATAACTCAAAGCCTGAAGACTTGCAGCATCAGCTTCTCTCATGTGGTCTGTGTAAGTACAGAGACTGGGCACGAGCTGATTGAGGATGCTCCTTGCAGAATCCACAATCCAGTTTGCTATCTAAGGTGACATATGTACTAAATATGCCATTCCTCTGTACATTTGATTTTTCCTGGAATCTTGACCTGAATGGACTTCCGGGACCTTCCTGATAGGACAGGAGAAAACCACTTCACCTCCTTTTCCAGGAGGCATTCCTTGTTGAATAAACTTTTGTTAGAGCAATTTACCATCAATCCCAAACTGTTTCAATAGAAGGAGTGCTGTTGCCTTACGAACATCAACCAAAGGATAAATGTGGTCAGCGGTCATTCCTTGAAGAACTATTTCTAATAGGTGCTTCATAAATGGAGCCAGGCAAAAGAGAACCTCCACATTATAGCTAATGCTGCAAAGGACATTAGTGTCATGTTTCACAGATCCATAATTCAGGAAGCCAGGCTGATAGTACTGGATAAGGTTGTTCCTGTTTGGTTTATTTAAATTAGAGGATCATTAGTTATTTGGTTTCAAAATTTCAGAGGCCGAGGTTTCTGTCTCTAGCCAGGATCTTTTGGATTTGGGTAAGGTCCCAACTCAGGGTGGACAGGACTAGGTGTGTGCTTCCCCACAGAAGCATAGGTAGCCTGAGTTTGGTGACTTTAGGTAGGCATAGGAGTTATGACCTTGGCAACAGTAGTGGTGACAGCACTGGTTGCCTCCCTCAGCCCTGCAGCCCCATAACCTCTGGTGCATTCACATGGTTTGGAATAGGAAGACAGAGAGCTTGTTTTTGCTTTTGTGTTCAGACTTTGAGCTGACTATAGTGGAAAGCTTTGTTTATATATGGAGATATCTTTAGTTAATGTCTACTTTTCTTTCCATGGTGCCCCCTAGGTGTGTGGCTACTGGCCTTTGCCTCTGTCCCAGGAGCCAACAGCCTCTGCTTACTTGAGATGGGAGGTTGCAGTGTATATGGCCCAGTACCCAGTTCTGCAGAAAAGTGCCAAAGTATTGTTAATGTTCCTAAGGCTATCCAGATGTATTGGCATACAGAGAAAGCCAACTAGAAGCAACAGCTATGTCACCTTGTCTATACTAATAAAATCATCTTCAATGATAGTAAACATAAATATTGACAAACCCTAAGGACAAATAATGTACCACCACTCTACCACACAAAAAAAAGATCTGTAATTATAGTATGAATTCTAAGACATTTGTTCTATTATGTACTCAATGTACTAAACTGTACTAAATGGAGCAACCTTACCTATAATAACAATAGAACAAAACTCAATAGCAATAGTGTAAAGTTACCTAGTTAACTAGCTTAATTAAGTTGATGTTCTACTAGTATTACTAGTAGTAATATTAGTACAATAGAGGGGGTAGGAAATTGGGAGAATTAAAAACCAAATTTGAAAAATTTATCAAAGGGCTATGAGAAGGGGGAGAGAAAAGTGAAACATAAGAGTCTTACTGAGGAGTAAAGGGAAATTCATAATTTTGGAGAACAGTCACTAGAAAGAACAAATAAGAAGAAAAAAGAAAAACAGAAAAAAATATAGGAAATAAAGGCAACAAAAAGTTAAAGGAAAAAGAGAAAATAAACTAAGAAAAGGGAAAAAGGGAGAAAAAACTCAATCCTTGAAAAAACTCAATAAAGGAAACATAAAAATAATGAAAAATAGAAAAATAAAACAATGAGTCAAAAATTTCTGGATGGTTTTTAAGATCTGCAGTCTTTGGATCCATAGTCATTATGTTCTTCCCCTAAATTTAGGACTAATGGGTTTTTGAGGTGCCCTCCCAGAGCCCCTCTATCCTTTCATTCAGACTGTGGCAACTGTCCAAGTTAAGGTGTGAGCTTGTACCTAGTGGTAGATGGAAAATCGAATTTGAAGGATACTGAGTCTCCCGTTTGCCCAATGCCTATAAGAGATCCAATTCAACAGGTCTACTTCTTGTAGATTTGCCATTGATCCTCTTGGGTTATGCTTGGCCTTAGAAGATCATGTGGCATGCCATGCAGGAGGCAACCTCATGCTGAAGTTATTGATCTGCCTCCAAAGAGGGAAAGTCCAGAGATTAGTAAGTAGTTGTAAGAGTGACGGTTACTATCATACTGAAAGTGCCTACTCTACAATCAATAATATACTGAATGTTTCATATAATCTGTAGTTTCCACATATCTTTTAGGGTGGGACATCTTCATTTTATAGATTTACAAATGAGGAAACTACTGTCAAGTGACGTACCTAAGATTACACAATTTAGGGGCAAAATCGAATTACAAACCCAGATCCCTGGTTTTTAAGAGTCATACTACATTTTCATTGATAGAGATAGAGCACAGTGTTTGGTTTATTTAAGGATTATTATATCAAATCCCCTTCTTTCACAGATTGCTACATTCTCTAATAAGAGAGCCCTTTATTTATTTATTTATTTATTTATTTATTTGGTGGTGCTGGGGATTCAACCTAGTGCCTTTCGCATGGAAGGCAAGAGCTCTACCATTGAGCCACATCGCTAGTCCCCCATTTTTTTTTAACAGAATATACTGAGTTTTTGTTTGAAGTCAGATACTTCCTAAATATTTAAAACAATTATATTATTTAATCTCTCAATCAAGTCTGGAAGTTGCTATTATTTATTACTGTTGGGGTCTCGGCCTAGTCTCAATCTCAACAGATTAAATAAAAGAGACAGCAGTATAATTTTTGGAGGTCCAGGAATGTCAAAACTAACTCACTCTCCCTGGGAGTAAAGACAAAGAACCAGAGAGTCCAATTTTGCATCATTAAAGTAACATTTTCTTCTCATACATCTAAACTACTTTTCTTATAGAAGGGATTAGATAAGGATGGGGGAAAGATTTATATTTTTCTCCAACATGTTACAGTGTACCCTTTATGTTTTATTAAGAAATTACTCTACTTCCACATGCAAATTTTTTCTGAAAGTCTCAGAGGCTCCTGTTAAAGATAGTTGGGTGTCATGCTGCACATCTGTATTCCCAGCACTCTGGAAGCAGTGGCAGAACATTGCATGTTCAAGCTCAGCCTAGGTAAGTTAATAATTTAGTGAGAGTCTCTTTCAAATAGAAATACAAAAAGCTATAGATGTATCTCAGTGGAAGGACCTGGTTTAATTTCAGTTACAAAAAAAATCACTATTTTTTATAAATTGTATGAAGGGGACATGATTTTTCTTATTAAATGGGCATGGAAAGAAGCGGGTCAAAGAAATGTATAAGCACATATCCTCTCTCCATGTGTGTGTCTCCTTAGTGTATGAACATATGTGCATATGCATGTATATGTATTTTACTCACTAAAACACTTGTATCATTCTGCTTCAGGAAAGCCAACATTCCTAATTCCACTTATGCCTTAGTGTCAGCTGGCTGCCAGCTAACAGGGCTCTGTGAGTTCTGCATGGAATGAGACAGCCTTGCCTTGAAGAAGGTATCAGTCTAGTAATGGTGCTATGTCCTTGTAACTCTGAAATCCATACATAGCTAATTAATTTGCCAACTGAAATAAACTTTCATATATAATTATAAGTTTTATTTTTAATTCTAGGAAGTAACTTACCTAGTGACATTAAATGGAATTAAATTATTTTTTATAACACATACTTTACCATCTTCCTCAGCATGGCTTAATCTTACCTTGATCTCTTGATGGTACTGATAAAGAATTCTGCATTATGATGTACTTGGAAATAGCAACTTGATCAGTAACTATCCTAAAATAACAAAGCACAAATACTAATTAGGAAATAATCGGCAAATGTTAAATACATACTAAAACATAAATTATAAACTGTTTTTACAAGTCTATTTATAACTACAGTGCCAGAGTAACAAGAAATAGATTGAGCTAGTAAGAACTGATGTTTTCAATTCTCATTTTTCTGTGGTCAGTTTCACTGAATGCACTAAAGGTCATGGAAACATCGAGTTAGGGCCCTATCCTAGTTAGAAACATGAGCAAAGTTTATACTCCATGAATATGCCCTGCCTGGTAATTATGGTTCCTATATCCTATTTGGGAAGGAATAACTAATATGCATAATAATATACTAAACATAGTATAATTGCCATATATTCATTTGATGAAATATAATTGTCATTAGGATAGCACTGTGAAGATAATAAAATAACAAACGGAATATTGATGATGTAACGCACTAAGCATACTGAATGATGCATAGTAGCATTACAACTATATAAAAACAAAGGAACAGAAAACGTATGGGAGAAATGTTAAAATGTGTATTTACATTGTGATGCCATTTAATGGTGATGCCATTAAAGGTGTTTTTCTCCTACTTTAGCTATCTGCCAAATTGTCTACAATGTGGGTTCCATGTAAGTAAAGTATTCCTGTGTCCATTGTAGACTGGTTCTAGGGCTCTCTTGGAGAATCAAAATTCAAAGATTCATAAGTCTTACCAAAAATGGTGTCATACTTAAATGCACATCATATTGTAAACTTATAATACCTAAGTTTATCTCTAGAGTACTTATAATACCTAATGCAGTGTAAGTTCTATGTAAATAGCAGTTACACTGTATTGTGTAGGAAATAATAAAAAAAAACCACATGCTCAGTACAGTTGCATATTTTATTAAAATATTTTTATCCATAGTTGGTTGAGTCTAAGAATGTAGAACTTGCTGAATACAAAGGGCTGACTGCATTTCAATATAAAAATAATACAAGTGTCCTAGTTTCTATTCTCTTGTTGTTGAGACAATATATATGACAGTCAAAGGAAGGAAAGGTTTATTTAGCTCACAGTTTGTGAGGTTTCAGTTCATAATTTGCTGGCTCCATGGCAGGGTGGTACACAGCAGAGGGCCAACTGTTCACGGCTGCAGAAACCAGCAAAAGCCACAAGTGCAAAGAGGCGGGTAAGTAAGCCTGTTTTCCTCTCTCATATTGTATGCAAGCTACCTGCCTTAGTACTCACAGCCTCAATCCCAGCACTAGACAATGAATCAGTCACGAACTCTACATTCAGCTGCCTCCAAAAAGCCTGCCCTCTGTGGCCACAGAAGGTTTTGGTGGGGGGACAACGAGACACAAATTGTAACAGCAAGTAAAGGCTTTAAAAAGTTAAATATTTTTACAAGCTTTCAAACACAGGACTGTTTGTAAACAAGATATCAACTAAACATTAAAGACTGATGAATTCTTCCACTTAGAAAACTGGGGGAAATTGTGCTAGCCAAGACAGAATAAGAATAACCAGATTGGCCCTTCTGCCTATAAAATACATGAAACAAAATCTTAAAAAAACAATGGCCATGATTCATGTAAATCTGATTCCTGATAGGAAACAACTGAGGTGACTCCTACACCTAGAAAGAAGGGAGAGAGGAGACACTTGAGAGGAGATTCCCAGAATACTGACGGAGACAGAACTGCAAGGGAGAAAGCCTTGTCATATATTCTTAATAAGGCAAGTAAGGAAACTCCCTAAAGCCAAGGAAAGAGCAGGAGTGCCTGACACTCAAGAAAGGATAGCTGTCCTGTCTGTTCCACTACCCAGATGGAAAAAGACTCTATTTCCAAGCTCTGGATAGAACATACATACAAGCACCTTCCTTTTCTTAGGCAGGGAGAATAATTAGCATCAGATTGTCTCTCTGGTGTCAGAGAACAAATCTTAAAATACTTAAATGGTTCATTTATATTCTGCTTTAACTGTATACCAGAACAAAGCTCAAAAATACTTATAGAGATTCCAAATAGTCTATCTCCCAAAAAGTAAAATTCATAATTCCTGACACCTAATAAAAATCACGAAGCATGTAAAGTAGGAAAATATGATTTATAATGTAGAAAATAGTCAAAACTGACAGGAATATTACATATACCTATATTTCATAGCTTCTATTCATATGTTCAAAAAGTTATATACAAGTAGCAATAATAAAAAAGATCCAAATGAAAATTCCATTAATGAAAAATATAGTGTATTAGATAAAAAAAATGGGCCAGCGATATAGCTCAACAGTACAACACCTGCTTGGCAAGTGTAAGGTCCTGAGTTCAATTCTCAGTACAAAAAGAAGAATGAAAAAGTACACAGCTGAGAGTAACTCTGTATTACAAATTTTAGAAGATAAATTATAAGACATAACAAACAGTAAGGACTACCCAGAATGAAACCCAGGGAGAAGAGTTTTTTGTTTTTCTTAACGAAGCATGCTTCACTGAGTTGTAGGACCACTTTAAGAAGCCCAATATATCAATGATTGTTTTGTTTTGTTTTATTTTACTTTATTTTATTTGTTACTGGAAATCAAACTAAGGACCCTGTGCTTGCCAGGCAGGCACTGTGCTGCTGAGCTGTATCACTAGCCTGTAATTGAAGAAAAAAGAGACCAAAAAATTTTTTTAGAAATAATGATAAAAATTTCTGAATTTGGTAATGCTATAAACACACAGATCCAAAATCTCAAAAAAGCAATATACAAGATAGATAAAAATATACTAAGATATCATGATCAAACTGCTCAACAGTAATAGAAAAAGATAAAATATTCAAAGCAGCAAAATAAAATAGATATTACATATAGAGGAATAAACATGGTAAAGATGAGAGCACATTTCTTATTAGGGACAATGCAAGTGAGAAAACAGTAACAATATGTGTAAAGTGCTGAAGAACTAAAGAAAGAAAGAAAGAATGAAAGAAACCTGTATTCTAGTTATCCTGCAAAGAAAGGCACAGATCCAGGTAGCGTCTCTCCTGATTTCTATTAAATATTTAAGCAATAATAATAATACTGATCATATATAAATTCTTACAGCAAATTATAAAGGTGGGAATCTTCACTAAATAAGTCAGTACTATCTAGGTACCATAGCCAGACAGATCCACTACGAGAAGACAATTGACAGATCAATGTCCCCTATAAGCATATATATAAAAGATATAAACAAAAAGTCTACCTAATCAAATCCAATAATATAACACATCATGATCAATAGGGCTATTCCAGGACTATGCATTTGTTTTATGCAATCCATCATACTAAACTAAAAATTATAAAATCACCTCAAAAGATGAAAAAAATTGCTTTTGAAAAAAATACAAATCCATTCCTGATAAAAAAACTTAGAAAGATGAGCCCTATGAAAAATGTAACCCTAATATCAAATTTCATAATACCATAATACCTGAATGCCTTCCCTGTAAGTTCACAAAAAAAGAAAAGGATACCTACACTCACCATACCGTAGGATCTTGGATTAGAAGGAACAGACAGTGTTAATAGAGTAAAAATCAAGAAAATGTATCTGGATTGGGTATTATTAGGACATACCACTGTATGTAGTATTAATCTGATTGCCTATGTAGAAAGTTCAGTGTAAGCTACAAAAAAACAAAAAAAAAACAAAAAAAAAACCCAAAAAAACTCCTCAAACTAATAATCGAGTTTAGTAAGATTACAGAACATAAAAATCAATATATAAATAGTATTTCTATATATCAACAATAATGACAAGTTGAGATAATAAATAAAAAATTCAAAATACCATTTGCAGTAGCATAAAAATTAAACAACCATCAATACACTTGGCAAAAAAGCCATACACTGAAAGCTTTAATATACTCATAAAAGAAAATTTAAAAACCTAAATAAATATAAACATTATAAAAGTCACAGGACAGAAGTCTAATGTTGTTAAGACATTGTCTTCAAACAGATATAAATAATGTAACTGTAATCAAAAATCCAAGTAGAATTTTATAGAAATTAACTTACTCTAAAATTCACATGAAAATAAGATGGACCTAATTAGAACAGCCAAAACTGTTTTTAAAAAGAAGGAAAAAGTTGAAAGATTATCTTAATTTCAAGACTTACAAAACTAAAATTGTCAAGGCAAAATAATACAAAGAGACAAATATATATATATATATATGCAACAGAATAGAAGAAATAAAACTACAAATCAGGAGGCCAACTGATTCCTCCTGAAATTCCAGAGGGAAATCAGTGGATGTGCAATTCGCATCAACAAATGATGGAAGCACTAAATATTCCATGCATAGAAGTACAACAGCAACAAAAACTCACAAAATAAAAAAATGCATCATACATCAAAATGTAGAACCTAAAACTAAAAGAAGCACTGTGGTCTTTGGTTGAGCAAGGCTAGCTTAGATACAGCATCTGAAGCATAATTTACAAAATAACACGGCTGAGGATTTAGCTCAGTGGCGTAAGTGCCTGCTTACGTTGGCAAGCGCGACGTTGTGAGTTTGATCCCTGGTACCAAAAAATAAAATAAAATAAAACAAAATAAATAAAATAAAAAATAAACTAATAAATGATACTTTGTCAAAATTAGTAACTTCTTATGTCCTTAGAAAGACATAGTTAAGAGAATGAAAAGACAGGTCACAGGAATAGAGGAACATATTTGTAAATAATATAAATAACATATATAAATAATTATAAATAGTATTTATAAATAATAAAATTCAACAAGAAGAAAACAACCAACAACCCAGTTTTCCGGATCTGACCACGCACTTTATATATACACACATACAGCTTGCAAATGAGGACATGAAAGATATTCATTATCATTAGTTATGAAAGAAATGCAAATCAATATAATGAGACAGTACCACCTACCTATCAGAGTGGTTGAAAGTAAACAAAAAAATTGATAACAGTGTTGACAGGCAAGTACAAAAAGTAGAAGTTTTATGTTTCT